AATTATTGTCATTCTCTGCAGCCTCATTAAAAGATCCATGTGCTTTCACTTAGACATCTGGCTTGTGGAAGTCCCCTTCTCTGATGCAGTTGATAATTTCTTTCATTCAACTTACCAATGTATAAGACACAGATGAAAATGAAAATAGTGGGAAAATGGGGAGGGACAAGTGGAAAGAAAGAGGTGTAGGGGAAACGGGGAAAAAAAGAGAAAAAAACATTGACTTCAAATCTCCTTAGCGCAGTAGAATAACATAACAACATGACAGCCTCAACTTTTGACTTTTTGCATATTTAACATGTACTAGCCATTACTATAATAACAAGTTTGCCTAATCGGCAAAACCCAAAGTCAGCATTTCATTTCTCTCCCCCCCCCAACACAAAATCTGGATACGGTTCCCAAGTAGAAACAAAGTTAGTTTCTTTTCTTTAATTAAAGCAGTTAATTTAGCTACCTCTGCTAGTTTCATTTGTTTTTCCAGCCATTCATCCATTGTGGGAATTAAAGCATCTTTCCAATTTTGTGCACAAAGCAATGTATCTCAGCCTGGGCCATTTTAAGCTGGGTGGACTTCAACTCCCAGAATTCCCCAGCCAGTCATGGGAGTTGAAGTCCACCCAGCTTAAAATGACCCAGGTTGAGAAACATTGGCATAAAGCATTCTTGCTGCTGTCAAGTAATATAACAGTAAGGTTACAGACTCCCCCCCCCCCCAAAGTTCTCCTCTGATGCATTAATAAGCCTGGCATTCATAATCAAGTCATGGCTTGTTCTGCCTTTTTATTCCATGCCTATCTGCCTATTTGTTTATTTCCTCCATTAACTTTTTTATGTTTGAGTTTGGCCAGAACTAGGGAAGGGATTTGAAGGAGAGGATATTAGAAATGAAATGAGAGGTAATGAAATTTAGGAAGGAGATCCCGAAAAACTTCACTGTTTATCTATGGGGATTCCCCCCCCCCCATATCTGCCCAATTCTGTAAAACTAACCTTCTGTTTGATTGCTAGTTCAGTGCATCACAACCTCATGTTTTTATATGCCGATGGAACTAAAAATAAGTGTAATTTGTCTTCCCGTAGATTCATAATGACATTAAAATCCTTTGCGGACTCTTCAACAACGACGCAAGAAAAAATCTTCATTGTGTTTTGGTGAGTGGCTCTGCGTTCTGTTTCTAAGCATTCTGAGTTAAAAAAAACATATTAAAAGTGCCTAGCTTTCTACTTTGCTTTGCTGCGATGTGTGAAGAATCTTCAACTGCGTGGAACAATAGTTTCTAAACAGCTGCGTGTGTTCCATGTTCAATTGTGTTTTCACAGCATGCGCTGCCAAGCCATTCTGTACATGGCAATGTTTCGCTACAAGAAGGACACAGCAATAAAGTATTCCCGGACTCTTAATGAACATTTCAAGGTAGAGAGTGAAAAGTTTCAACTGAGGGTGGAAGGGAGGGTAGTTCCAACAATATTATGTCAGTGGGTGAATGGTTTCCCCAAGTCAGGGGTAGGCAATCTTGGCTCTTTTATGACTCATGGACTTCAACTCCCAGAATTCCTGAGCCAGCATGACTGAGCTTGGAAACCTCTCCCTTTCCCCTCAGCATGGCTGGCTCAGGGATTCTGGGAGTTGAAGTCCATGAGTCATAAAAGAGCCAAGGTTGCCTACCCCTGCCCCAAGTGAATGACAGTGTAACTTGGGAGCTACAAGTGTGTTTAAAGTTTTTTAGTACAGGTAGTCCTCGACTTACAACAGTTCACTTAGTGACTGTTCAAAGTTACAACGGCACTGGAAAAAGTGACTTATGGCCGTTTTTCACACTTATGACCGTGGCAGCATCCCCAGGGTCACGTGATTTACATTTGGATGCTTCACAACTGACTCCTATTTATGATGGCCGCAGCGTCCCGGGGTCATGTGATCGCCTTTCGCGACCCCATTCCCCAAAGTCAATGGGGGAAGCCAGTTTCATTGAACAAAACGTGTTACTAATTTAACAACTGCAGTGATTCACTTAACAAATGTGGCAAGAAAAGTCGTAAAATGGGGCCAAACTCACTTAAAGAAATTTTTCACTTAGCAACATAACTTTGGGGCTCAGTTGTGATTGTAAGTTGAGGACTACTTGTATTCTATTTATATAGTGGGTTTTTTTTAATATTGTAAGCCAGAGTTATCCTGGGGTAAGATGAGCGGCCAATAAATTTGATTGATTGATTTATTGATTGATTAAATAAATAAATGTTCATGAAAAATAAGTGTTTCCCTTCTGTGTAAATAAAAAACATGAGTTGAAGTTATTTATGACCTAAATAGAATTTCCTTGCTTATTACAGAGTTCCTCTAGAATTGCCCAAGCACCTTCTCCGTGTGTTGCAAGGTAATATCACAAACTTATTCTTGTTACAAAAATTAATTTTCTTTTCTGGTTAATTGTAAGATTTGTATATAGGCTACAAAGAGACCAAAAGTATGAATTGGCTGGAAACCAGTTTGAGGATCTCTCAGAATATAAATTGTTGCTAGTTTATTTCTCAGGCTCATCACTTGTCACTTTGGATTTGATGGCCTCTTGCTATGGAATAAGGAGGGATAGCTTCTGAGTAGACATGTAGAACAGGGGTCCCCAACCTGTGAGCTGTGGCCTACTACCAGGTCACGGCCGCTTGGCCACCGGGCCGTGTGAAGAGATAGCCAGTCATGCCCCACACACTTGCGCTAGCAGCAAGCATCCTGCCGGCACTAGCACTGCCCTGCCCCCGAGCGTCCTGCCGGCGCTAATGCTGCTCCGAGCGTCCCACCAGTGCTACCGTCGCCCCGCTCCTGAGCGGGGCAATATATGAAACCACGCCCCCTCTGGTCCACAGAAAAAACGCTCTCCACGGAACCGGTCCCTGGTGCTCAAAAGTTTGGGGACCTCTGATGTAGAGGATTGCCTGGCATTCTGCTCAAGGGAAACTATTTCTCACGGGGTAGATAGGGACTGTGGAGATCCAAGTTCAAATCCTTCTTCAGCTATAAAATTCACAGGATCCATAGTTTAGATTAGAGCAAGTTCTTTCTTTTCTTTCTTTCTTTTCTTTCTTTCTTTCCTTCCTTCCTTCCTTCCTTCCTTCCTTCCTCCCTCCTTCCTTTCTTCTTCTTTCTCCTTTCTTTCTTTCTTTCTTTCTT